AAGAAAATTTTCAAAATTCAAAAATGTGTACTGAGTACAAATTTTAATGTCGTTAAGAAGCGCAATGTGTGTGTTTGTAACAAACCCTCTGAGTTAGAAAATATAGCTCTTCGTTTCTACCTTCAAGAATGAAGAAAATAAAAAGGCAAAGTTCTGACCTAAGTAAAAACTCCTGGACTGACGTGTGCATCTCACACTGGGTTCATACACTATGTGCATTTGTATTTGCGCTTTATATTTGCATAGTTGTCTAAGTGCTTTTGGCTTCAAGCACTAGTTGAGTTGAATTCTGATTAGCAGTTGAGTTATTTCTGAAATTTATTATTTTAGGAGAAATAATGTAAAGCTTATCTAACATGGTATGGAGGTAATGTATTCTCTTTCCGGGTCCACAAGGGGGCGTAGTTTCAAGGGCAAGAAATTCCCAATGCCCCCTCCCCTCTTCTCCATCCAGGAGACTTAATGGACTTTGTTTAAATTTTCATGGGCACAGGAAAAGATCACGAGTCAAACGTTCCAGCAGAAGTTTAAAGGAACTCTTTTCATTGGCCAGGGGGGCTTGGAGAAGGCAGGAATTCCTCCCAGGTTAAAAGTCCCTGTCCCCACATCTGGCCGGATTCCATACTTGGGTCCTCTTCCACACACTTCGTGGAAGCTTTCTCTCGCTCTCATCTTTTTCTCTTTCTCTACCTAAACAAATCACTTTTTTGCAAAAAAAAAAAAAAAAAAAACCTCTTTGGGGTCCGATATTTTCTTACTGAGCACACTTGCCGTTGGTACACTGTCCCATTCTTGAGTGAGTGAGAGACCAAGAGCCTGGAAAAACATCCTTTCAGGGGAGCTAAGTGCTCCCGTGCACCCCAAAACCTGGAACCAGTATCAGATTAAGATATCTGGAAAATCAACGTTTTATTATCATTTATGATCATTAATTTTATTAATGATAATTAATTGATTTTATTAATTATCATAATGATCCATGATTATCAGCTAGCAGTATGACACTTTTCTCCTACTGCTACTCAAATGTGTGAAGAAAATTGTAGCTTCCTTATTTTGTTTAACCAATCTAATCTTTTTGTGTTGTTCTTTGAGATATAATTTACAGGCTTAGCCCTTTAAAGTGTACAATTGAGTGGTTTTTAGTGTATTTGCAAGTTTGTGCAGCCATCATCATTATCAAATCCCAGAACATTCTTATCACTTAAAAAAAAAAAAAGCCTTGTGCCCATTAGCAGTTACTCCCCTCCTCCTTCACCCAGCCCCTGGCAACCACTAATTAGACTTTCTGTCTCTGTGGACTTGCGTGCTTTAGACATTTCATACAAATAGAATCATATAATATGTAACCCACTCAGTTACCCCTGTGAACTCCCTGCTAGGTGGTGGCAGTAAAATTTTACTTTCACTGAAATTTAGCAATTAATATTATCGTAGATTTTTCCAGTTTAAGACAATTTAATTTTGGTAAACACTCATCAAGCTTCATGTACACGCACTAATGAATGGTTTCTCCCCTTTCTTCTTCCTTCCCAAGATGGTCTGGGGACAGAGGAAACGGGGAGTCCTCCCAGCAGTGGTGGGAGGCTGGGCTGCCTTCTATGCTGGCCCCTGCGGCTGTGGCCTAATGGCCCTGGTCGCTGGGTCAGCGCCCTTCAAGAGGAGTGGTCTGGACTGGACTCCTGGTGAACGACGGCTCCTCCTGCCGCCAACACCTGAGCTCGACTCTGCCTCCAGTCGTGAAGATCACTGCCCACAGCAGTCTCCTCTTGCTAGCTCAGGCCTCAGCTTGTTCAGGGTCCTCTCAGCAACTCCGTGTCTGCTCCGGGGGTGGGCCTGGCCCTTTTCCTCCACCGTATACCCTGCGCCTGCCATGGTCACTAGCATATGAGTGAATGAATCCTTCAAAATTCAGCTGAAACTGTGAACTCTTTGCCCACGTGTCCACCCCTTCCTCCCACTGCTTCCTCGGTGCTCTGCTAAGAATGTTGGAAACAGACGCCCAGTGCCACAAAGAAAAGTCGGCACTGAGACAAAGGGTCTCTCAGCAACGCAATTTTAACTTTCTGGACTGCAGGAAGGGCACCCTCGCAGGCCATCTTGCCACGAGAGTACAATGAACAAAGGAAAAGCAGACATATTTATCTCTTCCACATTTGGGGTCGTCCTTACTGCTGTCTCTGATCTCCGTTGGCTGGAGCCAGACCTCACACTCTAAACTAAAACCTGATTGGCTAACACCTTAAAACTTTTCTAAATAGGTAAAAGCAATGCAGAGCTGGGACCTGCCTGTGAGCACGTCCAGCACAGATATCCTGGTTAAAGTACAAGGACACAGACTATACCACGTGCCTGTAAGCACGGCATGTCTAACGGCTACATAGGATACGGCTTAACAAAGAGTTATTAGTGCACTTATGATTTATTCTTTAACAAGAAAGGAAACTTTGAAGAGAAACTTTTACTTCCCACAAGAAGATCTTGCTGCTACACGGAGCATTCGTTGGCTTGTATTATAGCCCGTGCAATGCGCCTCATCTCTCCTACATTATCAATCTCCCCTCTCCCGCACTGCCCACGTGGGGGCTTCCCAAGGCCACCCTCAGATCACTCCCATGTAAACGTTATGCTCAATAAATATTAAAATTAGTTGAAGTTTTGTTCTGTCTAATTAACTATATTTCTATTTCACAGTAAGACCATGTGCATTTTATAAAATAATCACATGACAGAGGTAAATATAAGATGAAAAGTACGTCTCCACTCAGCCTCAGACAGTGCAGGCTAGTGTCTTGTTTGTAGAAACGTTTATGTTTTCTTCAATTTGTTTTTGAATGAGAATATAAAGTATCTCTGAGTTGGTAAAAGAGAAAATTTATACTAGAAGTTTCTAGGGGAAGAAGGGCAGGAAAGAATTACAGAATTGCATTTGCAAAATCACCTGTTGGAGGATAAAAGCCAAGGAGGAGCCTGGCCAACCCGGAGTATAAATTTCATCTCGAAGGCAATGACGACCCTGCTTCATCAGCTTCATACGGACAAATGCATAGCTCAGCTCTCCAGCGGAATTGAAATCTCCCCGACAGAAACTCACAAACGTCCCCTCTGAAGACGGCCTGAGCCCTGCCTCGCCATTTGCCTGCAAATGGTTTCTGACATAGAACCCGGTCCAAATGGCCAGTCCAACACTATTTGGGTTAAAAAAGAAAATCCAGGATGGTGACGATGAATTGGGAAGTTCAGATTCTCTGCTGCATGCTGTGTCTTTTCGTGTCCTTTTCACATCAAAGCTCCATACGTCACCTCCAGTGATTCCAGATTTCTACACACACAGACATTTTTCAGAGAAGGCTTAGGGGAAAAGAGGCAGGAAAGGCATTCTCTCCTACTAAGCTAGTGAAAAACGCTTTTCAGGACAGGCAGTCTCCCCAGAAGTGGAGGTGCTGTTGATAAATGGAGAATAAGGCCAGGTGCGGTGGCTCATGCCTGCAATCCTAGCACTTTGGGAGACCAAGAGAGGTGGATCACCTGAAGTGAAGAGTTCAAGACCAGCCTGGCCAATATGGCAAAATCCCGTCTCTACTGAAAATACAAAAGTTAGCCAGGCGTGGTGGTACATGCCTGTAATCCCAGCTACTTGGGAGGCTGAGGTCAGAGAGTCGCTTAAATGCAGGAGTTGGAGATTGCAGTGAGCCAAGATCACACCGCTGTGCTCCAGCTTCGGTGACAGAGCAAGACTCTGACTCAAAAAAACACACACACAAAAAAGAAATAGAGGAGAAAATCCCAGGTTTTAAGAACCACTGGGATGGTGTGTGCTTCAAGCACCCGGTCTGAACCAAACCGCCTGGATTCAAACCGCAGCTTTGCCAAGTGTTGCGTATTTTGGACAAAGTATTTCTGCCCTCCGTTTCCTTGTAAATCTGGATAGAAGCAATGCCGACCCACCAGTGCTGTGTTGAATACTGAGAGGTGCATAAAGGATGATCAAAGAGAGCCTGGGGCCCTCTGGGCTGCCTGCGTGTCATCCTCGACCTCAGCACGGCATCGCCCATGCTGTTCTGACCTTGCGCTGTGATCCTTGGCTGAGGGCGACATGCTCGGCCCACCTCCACTAGGCCTCCTCTTTAATAGCTATCATTTCAGAGTCTTCTGTGTTACCCCAGGTAACCATTTCCTTCAGACTGAAATTACGAAACAAAGACCCAAATGCCCGTGTACATGCTGGCCTTAGACTGAAAGGCGCCCTCACTCTCTCTTGTTTTCTGCATAATGATTTTCTCAACTGTAGCCCCTTCACCACCATCCTGCTCTAGGACAACACCAGAATGGAGGAAATTCTCCCGAAGAAAGGTGAACGTGAACGAACCTACCCTGGCTTCTAGCGTCTGACCCAAAGGTCAAAGATTTCTGTTGTGAGAATGGATACAAATATTTCCGTGTTTCAGCCCCTGTTAAGCAAAAGCTTTGAGATCCAAAAACAAAAACCAAAAAAACTTCACAATCCTATCAATGTATACAATGTTGGCAGATCTCTGGAAATACCTTGTCATTGAAAGTATGAGACAAACACCTTTTTAAATTATTTCAAGCAATCTGAGGACACACAATGCCAGGCGGCTCTCTCAAAGGCCTCATTGTGAGTGTGTGTGCCTGGAGGCGGCGGGTTGCTGGCCCCCTTCCATCCTCCTGCAAACACAGCACCATATTTGTCTTTCAGCTGTCTCTATTTGTTAGGAGCTATAAACAGAGAAGATTCTTTCTTAGCAACCACTGTGAAAAAGTAAAACCACCCTTACTCCCTCCAAAAAAAAAAAAATAAGTCTGAAATGAGGAAAAATGAACTTTGCAAAGTTACTTGTGGAAGTCACAATGACTATCCAATATGCAAAGCTTCACAATTGCTGGCTGCCTTCGGTTCAGGCAAAAAAGAAAAAACTCTGAAGATGTTTTCGGAAGTAGCTGCCAACAGATTAAAAGGCGACAAGAAATGATCTCACCAGCATTTGTAGACGTCTGGTCACGCGGCTATCAGCAAGATAACCAAGAATAATCCCGTTACATGATTCAATTCCATTTCCTTGGAGAATACTTCAGGCTTCATCTTGCTATTTTTAGTCTTGAGTGTCAAACGCCGTGGGACGCATTCCCAAGGCTGTTCACAGATTACAGGCCCCTCTAGAACAGGTAGGAGTTCTGGAAGCCAGAATCACCGACAGAGTATCTGGAAATCAAAGCCTTAGAAAGGAGGGACAGTCAGAAAACAAGCATTGGCAGCTTCAGAATAGCTTCAGATGGACACCACCTCTCAGACAGAGAATTACAGAAAAATCATCACATTTGTAAAGAAAGCATGAACCTTGACCTTAACAAAGAACGCTGCAGAGGATCTGTGGGAGTGCTCACAGCCATGTAATCTTTCAGGAAGTTTAAAATGTTTCTGGAGTGAAATCAGGTCACTCTTGCCAGCCTGAGAACAGCCAGTTTGGAAAACAGGACTTGTCGGCATGGAAACGTCAGGCATCCTGCTAACAAAACTCACTGCAGGGTTGACTGGAGAAAAATCGTGGAGAAGCCTCAGGGGTAGGACAGGTTTGGTGCAATTCTGTGAGGTCAGATAATATGAAACCCAAAATGGCAATAACTGAAATACGCTAAGCTACAGTCATTCCCCAGACGGGATTCAACTTCCGTGAGCCAAGAGCTTCCTCCTGCAAGTGTCAGGGCTGCTGACACTCCAAACAACAGAAGTAAAAGACACGCAAAAGAAACACTTTTTTCTAATCCTACATTCCCATCGTGCCCTTGAAGACAGGCGATAAGGAGAGATTGTTGAGAACTGAACTCTCAGGAATATTATTTCAAACTGACAAATGTGAAAATCTGTATTATGAACAGAAAGTCTGTAATAAGTGCCCACTCCCACGTTGTCTCATTGCGATCGTCACAGAAGCCCTGCGATGAGGGCGTTATCGCCACTGCTTGACAGGGAAGGAAACAGGTCCAGTCAGGAAGTCTCAGAGGCAGCTCCTGGCCTCACACCAGGCTCATTCTCCGCTTCACCCAGCCACCACCCACACACTGTGCTTTAGGTGAGACGCACTGACAGGCTCACACATCCAGGTGCCACAGATCGTTCCTACGGTGCTGGTACTCCCCCTCCAAACATGCAATTGCAATAGTATGCAGAGGTCACCAGTGAACATGTTTTACTCTTACTAGAAAAGGGGGAAACCCATGGTTTTCTCTGTTTCAATCCCCCCTCCCTCTGTCTGTGTACAGGGGAACTGTTTGCTTCTTCCTTTCATTTTTCTTGCCTATTAAACTTTTCCCTCCTTAAAATGAAAATAATAGGAAACTGCCGTATACCATTTTTGTATTAAAAAAACTCTTTTCTTTGGTTATAAATTTTTTCCTTCCTTTTTTTTCTCATTCTCTTCCTTGCGTCTCCTTCTCTCCCCACTTTTCCACATTCATTCACCTTACAATGCAGCCCCACGCATTCTTAAACTGCACGTGGAGCTGAACTCAAACCTTCCCAGTGTCTTTGCTAGGGCCAGATGGTGCTTCAGTGACCACCCCACCCATGCCCTCCCTCTCCCCGAGGCCTTCCCCCTCCACCCCATGCCAGCTGCTTTGCTTGCTGATAACTTCACAGGATAAGCAATCATGGCCAACAACAAGACCTCCAGGCAAGCTGGAGAACTGGTCACAGCCACTGCCAACTTCTCAGGACCCTTGGTCTTCTAGAAGACTCTTCAAATGCCCAGAGTAACAGTGGAGAATGAAAAACTGGAGAAAGCATTATAGAGGTTAGCAAGGGTGCTGCAGCTCAACTTGGTGCCAGCCTGTGAAACCTAGAGGCAGTACTGTGGATTGAAGGCAGCAACACAACCACACATCATTAGGATTCCGGTGGAAATTACAGCATTCCAAACTAAGCCTCCCCTCCTCCATACAACTTTTCATCAAATCTTTCTTCATTCTCCTTTTCTCCCTAGTTGTAATTTACATATTTAAGAAATAAAAGTTTCCCTGCCAGGATACTAAAAGTCGTGTGTTTTGTTACCCGCAGCTATAATAGATTAAAGAGTCCTTATGATTGGAAGAATTCAAATTTACTATCCTAAGTGTTTGATTTAACATAAGTAAAGAAAAAAGGGGGAAATTCAAAAACTTCTTCAATCACTAAAAGAAAATTCTTCAGTACTATTTGTAATATGCATAATCATATACATTAGAACCATCAATTTGCATGAATTTACACTCTTCTTAAAATTGACAATGCAAAATGTTGGCAAGGATGTGGAGAAACTAGAACTCTCATACACTGCCGGTGAGGATGCAAAATGGTGCAACCATTTAGAAAAACTCTACAGCAGTCTCTTAAAAAGGAAAATATGGCCAAGCACAGTAGCTCATGCTGTAATCCCAACACTTTAGGAGGGCAAATCACTTGAGGTCAGGAGTTCAAGACCAGCCTGGTCAATATGGCGAAACCCTGTCTCTACTAAAGATACAAAAATTAGCTGGGCATGGTGGTACGTGCCTGTAGCCCCAGCTACTTGGGACGCTGAGGCAGGAGAATTGCTTGAACCAGGAGTGGGGAGGTTGTAGTGAGCCAAGATTATTCCACTGCACTCCAGCCTGTGCAACAGTGAGATTCTGTCTCAAAAAAAAAAAAAAAGGTAAATATATACCTTCCATAGGATCCAGTCAGTCTACTCCTGTGTATTCACCCCAAATAAATAAAAATATAAGTCTACGCAGAGACTTGCACATGAAGGTTCACAGCAGCATTACTCACAATAACAAAAAACTGAAATAATCCAGATGCTTATCAATGGGCATGGGTAAACAACCTGTGGCAGTCATATGCTAGACTAGCAATTAACAAAAGAAAAAAGCATGGTGAAAGAGTCAGGGGTGTGGACAACTGCTACATGCAACCACCCGGGTGACTTAAAGCCATTATGATAGATTTTAAAAGTCAGACACAAAGTATACTGCATGATACTATTTGTAAAGTTCTAGATGATGTAACTAAGTCCACAGTGACAGAAAGCAGATCAGTGGTTGCATGAGGCCAGGGACAGAAAGAGAAAAACTTTAAAAGGGCAGAAGGAAACGTTTGGGGGTATATGGAAATATTCTTTGTCTTAAATTTTGGCAGTGACTTCATGGGTGTGTACCACTGTCAAAACTCAGCAAATTGTGCACTTTAAATCTAATTGTACTGTTAAATGGATGCCTTTTACTGTATGTAAATTATACCTCAATAATGTTTATTATAAAATAGTTAATAAATTAGGAATGTTCACATGTGATCATCATTCTTTTTATTATGAAACAATTCCTTATAGAATCTTTTCACATATTTAGAACGTTTTAGATACGATTTTTATTAGCAAAAACAAAGCAACCTCTGCCTCCTGGGTTCAAGCGATTCTCCTGCCTCAGCCTCCTGAGTGGCTGGGATTACAGGTGTACACCATCACACCCAGCTCATTTTTGTATTTTTAGTAGAGACGGGTGTCACCATGTTGGCCAGGCTGATGTCAAACTCCTGACCTGATGATTCACCCGCCTTGGCCTCCCAAAGGGCTGGGATTATGGCCTGAGTCACCATGCCCAGCCCCATAACCTCCTTATCTTCACTAAGCATTTCTTTCTGCTGTCCAAGCTTTTAGACAAAGCTTAACTCAACCAATTACCAATTCAACCAATTGCCAGAAAATCACTGAATCCACCCATGACCTGTAAGGCCCCACCTCTTCAAGATATCCTGCCTCTTTAGGCTGAACCAATGTGCACTTTCCATGTATGGATTTATGTCTTTGCCTGTAATTTCTGGTCACTCATACTGGCTCAGAATAAACCTCTTGATATAATTGAAATTATATCAAGTGCTCTCTCAGACCACAGTGGAATAAAACTACAAATTAACTCCAAAAGGAACCTTCAAAACCATGGAAATTAAATAACCTGCTCCTGAATGAGCATTGGGTCGAAAATGAAATCAAGATAGAAATTCAAAAATTCTTCAAACTGAACGACAGTAATGACACAACCTACCAAAACCTCTGGGATGCAGCAAAGGCAGTGCCAAGAGGAAAGTTCATAGCTCTAAATGCCTACATCAAAAAGACAAAGAGCACAACGTGACATTCTAAGGTCACACTTCGAGGAACTAGAGAAACAAGACCAAACCAAACCCAAACCCAGCAGAAGAAAGGAAATAACCAAATCAGAGCAGAATCAAATGAAATTGAAACAACAACAAAAATACAAACGATAAATGAAACAAAAAGCTGGTTCTTTCAAAAGATAAATAAAATTGATAAACCATTAGCAAGATTAACCATGAAAAGAAGAGAGAAAATCCAAATAAGCTCACTAAGAAATGAAGCAGGACATATTACAACTGACACCACTGAAATACAAGAGATCATTCGAGGCGACTATGAACACCTCTATGCACATAGACTAGACAACCTGGAAGAGATTGATAAATTCCCAGAAAAATACAACCCTTTTAGCTTAAATCAGGAAGAATTAAATACCCTGAATGGAACAATAACAAGTGGCAAGATTCAAATGGTAATTTAAAAATTACAAACAACAAAAAAAGTTCATGACCAGACAGATTCACAGCAGAATTCTACCAGACATTCAAAGAAGAATTGGTAGCAATCCTTTTGACACTATTCCACAGGATAGAGAAAGAATAAACTCTCCCTAATTCATTCTGTGAAGCCAGCATCACCCTAGTACCAAAACCAGGAAAGGATATAAGCAAAAAAGAAAACTACAGACTGATATCCTTAATGAACATAGATTCCAAAACCCTTAACAAAACACTAGCTAATGAAATCCAACAAGATATCAAAAAGATAATCCACCATAATCAAGTGGGTTTCACACCAGGGATGCAGGGATGGTTTCACATACAGAAGTCAATAAATGTGATTGATACACCACATAAACAGAATTAAGTACAAAAATCACATGATCATCTCAATAGATGCAGAAAAAGCATTTGACAAAATCTAGCATTCCTTTATGATTGAAACTCTCAGCAAAATTAGCATACAAGGGACATACCTCAATGTAATAAAAGCCATCTATGACAAACCGTGGTCAACATAATATTGAATGAGGAAAAGTTGAAAGCATTCCCTCTGATAACTGGAACAAGACAGAGATGCCCACTCTCACCACTCCCCTTCAACACAGAGCAATCGGACAAAAGAAAGAAATAAAGGGCATCCAAACTGGTAAAGAGGAAGTCAAACTGTCACTGTTTGCTGACAATATGATCAGCAAACCCTCAAGACTCCTCCAGAAAGCTCCTAGAACTGATTAAAGAATCCAGCAAAGTTTTTGGATACAAGATTATTGTACACAAATCAGTAGCTCTTCTATACATCAATAGCAATCAAACAGATTATCAAATCAAGAACTCAACCCCTTTTACAATAGCTGCAAAAAAATAAAATGAAATACTTTGGAATATACCTAACCAAGAAGTTGAAAGACCTCTACAAAGAACACTACAAGACACTGCTGAAAGAAATCATAGACAACACAAACAAATGGGAATACATCCCATGCTAATGCATGGGTAGAATCAATATTACAAAAATGATCAAAATGCTCTCTACAAATTCAATGCAACCCTCATCAAAATACCACCATCATTCTTCACAGAATTCGAAAAAAAAATCCTAAAATTTATGTGGAACCAAAAAGAGCA